TTGAAAGACTTGATTACAATCTTAAGGTTATAACTTTCAATCTCATTCATCGTTTTCCAATATCGATGAGCATACTCCCGTAGTGTTTCTCCATTTCTATTCTTTAGTGAAACTAGTGCCCCGACATCTTTAGGTTGTCAACTGCTAGTAATGAACTATGTCGTGAACTGTTCAACCAGTTGTCCCTGGTTGTCAACAAAGTCCTTAGGGAAGCTATCAAACCATTTTATTGTTGACTCGCCCAGGCTGCTAGGGAATATATTACATAATAGAGCCTTATTTTTCCTATGAATTGTCATCAATTGTCTTTAATGTCGAATTTGGGCAGTTGCGTCCATTTTGCCATCATATAATCTAACATTCGATATAGTGAATTTACTCAGAATCCTCTCTTGTTCAATCCACCTTATAAAAGGTGATACCTCCACCCCTCTAATGTACTCCCCAGATGCTCTTCTTGCTAACTCCCTCGTGGATTTTTGTTCAGGTCGCTTCAATTTGTTATTGAGTTCCTCTATAATAAAGCATTTTCAAGTGTTAAGAGTATTAAGATATAGACTAGATCTTCATATGATTGGAGATCAACCATTGGTTATTGTATCTTCTTAGGAGATAACACTGTTACATGGAAGAGCAAGAAACAACTCGTGGTTGCAAGATCTAGTGTTGAGGCTGAGTATAGAGCAATGACACATACAACGAGTGAGTTGACATGGTTACTGCACTTTCTCCAGAAAATTGGGTTTTCACTCCAACTTCCTTTATAGTTATTTTGCGACAATTAGACAGTTATCCATATCACTGAAAATTCAGTGTTTCACAAGAGAATCAAACATATTAAAGTTGATTGTCATTTTATTCGAGACAAGATAGTAGATAGAGAGATTACGACTCCATTTGTGAGATCTGAAGATCAGCTTGCAGATATATTTACTAAAGCATTAAATCGTACATGTCTTACAACAATTTGTTCCAAGCTTGGAATATGCTTGAGGGGGAGTGTTAAAAGTATTGGGGTATTATGTGTAAATATTAGAGGATATATATGTCTTTTGTATTATTACAAATTAATTATAAATAAAAAAGAATTTTGTGAGAGGTAGGTTAAGTATTGACCACTCTTCGTTTCTCTCTAGTATCGTGTTAATTCTCCTTAACACCAAGCATTTTCTTGGTTCTCTACGTGATGGGACTTTCTCTTATCGTTAATTACTTGGGAATCCTCTCTTCATCTGGGCTTATATATTTTTGGGGCTTCCTAAGAATATTCTCTTTGTCTCGGCCCATTCTTTTTAGGAGTTCTACCTTGATGTTTTTGGCCTTGATCATTTTCTGCATGGGTTTCTTTCCTTTCAGGGACATCTCCTTCCCTAGACCTCCTCAAATCTTCCTTCAATGTTTTATTTTCTTGCCTTAGTGCTTTTTCTCTATTGTATGACATTTTGAACATGGCGTCATGCGCATCTAGCCGGTCTTGGAGAGATCGAATTAGTTTGATGAGAACGGGAGTTTCCCCCTCGACACGAAGGGACCCATTATGGCGTAAGTCTTCCTAATTATTTTTGTCCTCGAGCTTATAGCTAGTCGAGAATAGGTTATCATCATCAGGACTTTTGTCCTAGCTTTCGAATGCACCATCTTGGATATCACTATCTGAGGGGAAAGACACTTTGTAATTTTGATCGATATTTCGATCAACATCATGGCTCACCGGAGATCTGATAGTGCTTCTTAACCTTGACATTGCTTTTTTGTTCAATAGTTTCCTACAGACGATACCAATTGTAAGAGGTAAAAAAGAATTACCTCTTACAAAAAATAATTTGGTTATGGATGACTTGATGGTATAGTGTTCAATTCCCTCTATAAAACGAACAAATCGCCAAAGACCGGAGTGAACCAGTCGAAGGCACTCTAATGCTTAAGTCAGTAAGGGTTCGAGACAAAGGCAAATGTAGGGATTTTTGTGCGTATCTCTTCCTAAGTTGTTCTAGTTCCTTTTATAGGATGTCTTGGTCTTCATCATTTAGAGTTTCCTTGTTTGCAAGGCGAGGTGGAACATCCCTCTTGCGTTGAATTTAGGGTCACTTTAACTAAAATCTCTGCAACGTTCTCAAATCAGCTACTTCTTCAAAACTATAAGCATCTAACTAACTATTAGTTATATTAAATTATCATGTGTTTTGTTGATGTATAATGAATTAAGTATGAATAAACTATGTAAGTAGTAATCATAGAATAATGTGGATATATTGAGAATATTAAAGTTCCGAGATGGTCAATCTTAGTAGGACTAAATTCAGTTAAGTTCTAAAATATATTTAGAGGAAAATAACATAAGTCAAAAAAATCTTGGGAGAGATTATATGGGGTGTATTAGAATTGCAGACATATTCAAGAGTTAAAACCTATTTTGGAGAGGTTATGGGTAGAACGAATTTGATACTACCTTAGTATTTAGATCATAAATTTTATCCTAATATCCGATTGAACTGAAATTTTTACAGTAGAAACTAGACTTCAAAGGATAGAAAAGTGTATTTCATGAACATTTTGTGAATAAACTTCTAATTAGGTCAAAATTGAATTGAAAGTCAGGGGCATACTGCTACCCGTGCCCCACATGATAATTCTCCATTTTTCAGCCTATAAATACCCTAGGGCCATAATCTAAAGAGTCTTTACATATCTTTTCAACCCCAAGAAACCTAGGAAATTTTTAGGAGAAGAAAAGCAGGAAGCACAGGTTGAATCTTAAAAGATTAACACGTGATAATCGTAACAAAAGATGTTAGAATCAAGATATCAAGAATCAAGGTAGGAGTTTTTTCTCAAATTCATTTATTGATGTTTTGGTTTATATAATATATTTTTTCATATAAATAATTGATCTACAATGCTTGTACATTTGTTTGAATCCATAATTCGTATATTTAACAAAATACATGATTTGCTTCAAAGATCTATCCATTATTGATTTCAAATCTAGTTTTTTGACTCCTATTCTATATATGTGATAGATCTATAAAGTTTTTATTTTTTAATATATTCTTAAATTCTTGAATAAATGGATTATTTATATATAAATAAATATTTTACCTCCAAAAATCATATGTTTAATTGAAGAACCCTGGTTCTTGATTTATAACCTAATCTACATGTGTTTTACAACAAAATTTACATGTCTTGATTACAAAAAATCCTAGTTTTTGATTACTATCAATTCAAATATGTTTTATTAGGGATCTCTTGAATGTTTTCTTGAATAATTCCTTTGGAAAAGTTATGAAACCATGATTCTTGGTTGTCGTTAGATTTTATGAAAAAGTTGTGGAATTTATCTCTTGCATGGGTGGGTGCGATGAACGTGAATTACACTTGAATCTATATCACAGAGTGTTTAGATATTTTTTCTTACCTCGAAGGGTTTGAAGATTTCCTATCACTCGTAGTGGGGTTGGTGTCTTGCGATAACCAAACTAATATTCGTTCACGATGATCAAGACTGGAAGTTAGTATACTAGTTCTGAAAAGGATTCGTCACTGTCAATGCGTTGGTATATGTCTTTCCTAAAGTTTTATGACCTTGCGAGGATTAATTTGATGGTTTTTGATTATGGTGTGGACCAGATATGTTCGTGTTGTAGTTTCATACTAGTCTACCTGGGTACATAAGATATAATATTTGTGAATAATTGTTGCGGGAATGAGTTTTACTTCTGTAAACTTTACTATTTGGTACCGTAGACTTGAGATCTCATTAAATGTCATTGTTTTACTTCAAAACTATAAAGTGTGACTTACCCGTTTTAATGATTTTTAAACCTTGCTTGGATTCGAGAATATTTTTCTACTGCGCTTTATTGCTCACCCTATCATAACTTTTTTCATATTTTAGTGTTGAGAAGAATCCAGAGTTAGATGAGCTGATAGATTGGGATGCTGAGGCGGATCATGACGTGGATCTAGTTGTGGAAGTTTGAGAATGAATTTTAGTTTTTGGAGTTTATATTTGATAGTTGATTTATGTTTTTTTTTGGATTTATCTAATCAGATGTTAAATTATGCATGATTTTATTTATTTAATCGTACTTTATTATGCTCTCATGGTTGGATATTATATAGGTAGTTAATGTCGTGCAGAGTAAATTTTGGGGCATTACAAAAATTATTGATGTTGTTTACCATATTTTCAGTAACTTACATACCTTACCCATGAATAATAGGTATCCAATTACTTAACTCGGTCCGAGCTGTTTTCACATTCTCAGGGAAACTCGGTCTGATTATATAAATATCCCTACTGAATTATTTTAGTCTTAACTCGATCTAAATTAGCTCGGTTTGATCTTGGCATTGCTTTAAACTGTTCACATTCTAGATGCGCACATAACTTTGTCACGTACATGCATCATTATACTGAGACATACGCCGAAATTTTGTGCCCCTTTAACTTTATTCTTTTATTTTTATTTTTACAATTTTGTGATGGATTGGGGTGGAGAAGAGATGACGGGGGATCTACATGGAGTGAGGATCTAAAAGACAATTAGATAGGAGAGATAAAAAAGAGTGAAAGAGATGCTTACATGGGAATTTGAGTTTTGTTTGATTTTAGCCATTAAATGTGTTACCTGAACTTAACATGTTTGATACGTTTAATAAACAGGTCATTTTTGAGTTAATATATTACACAACATGTTAACCAGTTTAACCCACACATCAAATTCTATTTGTTTAACAACTTAAAAAAAAATGGAAAGATTTTATTGAATAAAATTCAAAGAATTACAAGAAGCAAAAGAAAATCAATTCCTAATATCCATTTCCAATTAAATAGCTTTAATCCTTCAAAACATGAAGAAAAAAAAATCATAAATTTCTTCTATGGACAATAAAAACAGCCACTTTCAATGCCTGCACAATCATTCCAACTCCAAATCTGCTCCAACAAGACCAGCAAGCAGCAACCTCCTATGCCCCCACATACCATACACAATTCATTCATGATCATCAAGAACTACGATAAATTTTTGGTTCTCAAAACTGGTAACATCTCGATCTGGTTGCAAGAGTGAAATGAATGTAGTCCCATCAAGAGCATGAGTTGTGTGCCTAGGATAATTAACAGTTTGATGTGTTGTTGAACTATCAAGCCCAGTTGATATATCATCCATGAAAATCACTCTATATGCACCCATTAGCAATTTAGCTGCCATCATAGGACAATTTTGTAAGAAGTTAAGCCACAAACCATCAACAATATCTGCAGGATCTGACCATAAGAGGTCAGACATGCCACCATCATGGGGTACTTCTTGCTTTCTATCAATTGTTCGAATCTGGAAAGTAGCCAACATTAATTTCCTAAATAAGGCTTCAAAAAATAAATTAAATAATACAAGACAAATTCTCAGACTTGGTTTAACGTAGAAATGGCAGGAGAGAGACCACCTTGAACAAAGAATATCTTGTTTTCAATAAGAGCCGACAAACTGGAGTGAGTCACATTGAAGCAGAAAGTTCAGTTAAAAGTGAAGTTTAAATGGTTTAAAACACACCACGACATGGACAAAATGAAAACCAGGGCACCTGTTGTGTAAGCTGATCTAAATGTGCATTAAAGACATAGTGGTTGAGTAAAAAGAAAAAAGAGGAGAATTATACTTCTGTAGGCACTCGTCGTAGAATCCATATACCTAAAAAAGGAGGATAGCCAATAAATATGTCAGGCAGATATGTAAAATTGATTTAGAAAATCAATAAATAAGACTTAACCTGTGTAATTTGGCGACTCTCATGGTTCCCTCTAATAAGAGTTATACGATCTGGATATCTCACCTGATTGCATACAATCCATTAGTTAAAATAGCCACACAAAAAAAAAGGAAAAAAAAACAGTAAACAACAAACGTCAACTGCACTGCGCTGTCTGCGATGTCTGCTTCAATTGCACTGCCTGTTCAGCTAGACTCTATTCAGCTATTTCCTCTGGACTGCTTCTCACCTGCTGTCTGTTTTGTTCAACTGGAGTCTTTTGCCTACAGCTAGAGCTTACTCCTTCAGCTGGATTCATGCATCATGCATTAGAATTTTAATTCCTTATCTCTGATCGCATCTCTCATCCTGATCTCTGATCCTACTGCATCTCAAATATCTCAAATCTGATCCTGCACCTATTTAACCTATTTAACTAAAATGCGATCAAGTTTCAATCCAAAAATTAAAACAAGAACTATACTAATATACTTCCATTATGTTAAAGACCACATGTTCCACATCAACCATTCATATAACATACAAAATATGCTGGAATAATAAAACAAAAGCAGTAGCAAATAAGCAAAAGCAATAGCATGTCATTTTTGAGATCATATTCTAAAAGATGACTTGCTATTGACATGCTACATGAAATATGAACAAAATAAGCAATTGTTGCTCCTCCAACAAGGCACGATTGCACACAAAACTTTGACATTTCACGGGTCCTAATCAAAAGAAGAAATACTTCAATCAGAAAAGCAAAACAAGACAAACACAAACTAATAGATTAAACACTAAAAATAACGATGTATCTTCAATCAATGATCATCATTAGTCATAGTAGAACCATCTTGCTCAATATTGATATTCATCATATTTTCTATAATTTCCTCCAAATCATTTTGTGCAGGATCTAAAATGAAACAAATATATACATGCATAAGAATTAAGATTTCATTCTTTAAAACACAAATTCTAAAGCAATCACATAACTTATATTTACCTCTTTCTCCAAACAACCAATCTTTTGTGCATATCAAAGCCTCAACAACATCCGGCTTCAAAGAACTAAGATACTAGTCAAGAACCCTACCACCGGTGCTAAATGTAGACTCTAAAGCAACCGTAGAAATGGGAACACTTAACACATCACGAGCCATTAGAGCAAGTTTCAGATAACGAAATTGGTGAGCTTTCCAATTAGCAAGTACATCAAGTTTTTCATTTCTATCAACCCTGGGCTCATCCAAATAAAATTGTAATTGACTTTTCTGTGCACTACAAATGAATGTTTCACTCTCATAAAAGTCAAATTCCTATGTTCAAGAAGACAAAACAAGTTAAAAGAGAATCAATCTTAATATCATATAATACTAAATTAGTAACTCAATGTAAGTAAATTAAAAAAATCATATCACCATAAGTTTAGCTTTGATCTGATTCATGCTATAATGTTGTTGACTACCACGAGAACCATGATCTACGTCCTGAGAAACTGATGTCTGTGAAGAACTAGCCTTAAAAGAATTGTGCATGTACTCATCAAACAAAAAGAATAACTTCTCACAAACACGAATGAACTCAAATGATTCATCACCATAAAGCTTCTTATAGGGAAATTCCACAAACTGAATAACAAGGATCAAATATCACCGCAATAGCCAAAACCAAGCTATACTACGACCAATACTTATCAAATTTCCCAAACATCTGATGTGCCATCCTCCTCATGAAAACATTCGAACTTTTCATCTCTTCACTTAAATTAAGCTGAATCAAGAAAACTTCTAGAAAGTACAAATTTGAGGTAGGATACTTGGAACTAGAAAAAACACAAGTAGCATCATAGAAAGATTCTAAGAACCTACAAATGTTTTGCACTCTATCCTATTCTTCTTGAGTTGGACAATGTCTAAAATTAGAATCACTTAACTGCAAATGACAAAATGCACGACGATAGTAAATGACACTTGCAAGCATGAGATAGGTTGAATTCCACCTAGTTGGAACATCTTTCCTCAAAGTTCTCTTACTATCCAAATATGTTTGTGCAACACATTCCAAGAACTTTTTTTTCCTAACTTGAGATCCCTTTACATATTTCACACATTCTCGGATCTTTTCAACAACTTCACCTATTCCCTTCAAACCTTCTTGAACTATCAAACTCAAAATATGAGCACAACAACGGATATAAAATTAACTATCATCACACAACAATGCATCTTGCAGATTAAGTTGATTTTTAAGCAAATCAACCAACACATCATTTGCAGCTGCGTTATCTAAACTAAGTGAAAATAGTTTTTTCACAATACCCCAACTATTTAACAAACTATAAATCTTCCCACACAAAGCAACTCCAGTATGGGGAGGAGGCATGTAAGAGAAATTCAGAATTTTCTTTTTCAACACCCAATCTTTATCAATGTAGTGTGTAGTGAGACTCAAGTAACCATCATTAACAATAGAAGTCCATAAGTTAGAAGTCAAACAAATCCTACCAGGCAAGTCTTGCAGTTCCTAAGAAATCCTCCCTTTCACTGTAGCATACATTTTAATAACTTCCACCCTAGCAGTATTCCTAGAAATTTGTATGACTTGGGGGCATAAGTAGGTGAAAAGACTTATAATGCCACCATACTCAACAAATTGAAATGGAAGTTCATGTCTAACAATTGCACAAATCAATAACTTTTTAAACTTCCTTGCATCAAATTTAAAAGACCTAGATCCCAAAGCACCATTGGAATGGGTTACAAGTAGTTGACCAATATCATAGGTGGTTCGCTTCAAACAAGTTGCAGTGTGTCGCTTGAAATTCCCAGTGTCGTGCTTACTATCAACATTATAAACTTGCTTACATTTCTTACATTCACATCTCAGCAATCCTTCTGGACTTTGTTCTTTAAGAAAAATATAGTTTCTCCATACTTTTGAGGTGAACCTTCGTTAACGTTTATTTGTTGGTTTATCAACACCATCCAGTTATAGCCTATCTTGAATATCAGAAGCATGATTTGTTTCAGCCATGGCAACATCATCAGCAACAGGGATAGGTCCATCAATGTGTTCATCATTCAATGGAAGTGAATTCATCTGTTCCCAACACAAATGCCAAAAAAAAAAATATATGTAAGCAAAATATATGACACACATACAAAGTAGTACATTTTTGGTTAAAATACAAAAAAAATTACACAAACTTCCAACACAACTTGTAACGTTAAGTAGAGAAAAATGAGTTAAGGGGAAATACTACATAGCCAAGGGAATGTATGAGTGTTGTGTGTTGTGATCCGAATCTGACTGTGTTTACATTTTGATTGAGTCGCAGCGTGCAGAGAGAAAGAGATAACACAACGACATAGAGAGAGAGAGGGACAAACCTTTTTGGTTGAGCAACGGTGAAGGCATGAACGACAAAAACAACAATGGCTTGAATAGTGAGTTCTCCTCTACTCCTCCAGACAAAGCGACTAACGGTGGTTGAGAGTGAAAAAGGGGAAAAGTAGGAGTGGGTTAGGGTTAAGTTTTTTTTTTTGTTGCTTTTATATATTTGGATAAATGGGTTAAACGGGTAAGAAATGGATAGGTCAGGTTCGGGTCAAATTATATTAACCTGTTTAAAATATACGGGTTAATCAGGTCAAAATCGAGTTGATCTGATTTCGACATAAACTCAACTTATTTTTTTTCGTGTTGACCCATTTTTATCCATTGACCCATTTAATTTCGTGTTCAACCCATTTATTTCGTGTTCGGTTCTTGTCGTGTTAACGTGTCGTGTCGAAAATTGACAGCCCTACTTAGGGATATATTGATATAAATTGTTTTTAATTTTTTATAGAATTATATTTCAATAAAATTATTATAATTTGACAAAAAAATCAAAAAAAAAAATGATAGACGAATAAAAAACTCGGGATATCCTGATCCTGATCATGGTTTGGCTTTAAAGTAGAGCGATGCATCAAAAACAAAAAGGGTTAAAAAAAAATGAAGTCCAAAATAAATTATTAGAAGTTTAGGGGCCTTTCTGCAAAGCGACTCTCATCGTTTTTTTCCATCCACGACTATACGTCTATGCCCATCATAAACTTTCGAGTTCATCCCATCAAGTCGCAGATAAATAGGGCGCGCAAAAGCAAGAAGACGATTACCAGAAAAAGTTGAAGCTATCTAGCTTGGAGTCAGAAAATGTATCATCCCTCTAGAGGTGGCGTTCGTGGTGGTCGAGATCGTAAGTTCTCTCTCTCGCCCCTCTCTCTCTCTCTCTCTCTCTCATATTTTTAGGGTTTCTAATGCACACATGTACGATACAAACATACTTATATATTAACCCATATAAATAAACTATTTCTGTGGTTTTTTCTTGATTTCAATTGAGCCTTTTGTATATGCTGCAAAGGTTTAAATACATATTTATTTGTGAATTGAATATTTTCGATTGAGGTAAGGTGTTTGGCAGCGTGGATCCAGCTCTTCAAAATCTGATTGGGGGAGTAACTAGTTCAAATATTGAGCTAAGTTTTGCTCAAATCCATGTTGCCATCACAGCATAAATCTGTTGGATATCGTTTGTAAAGATTACGTGATCTGTGTCTTGGAATAGTTAGCTATAATTATTTTCTGTATACTTGGATCTTATACTTTGTCTTCGTGGACTGTAAGTTGATTTTTTTTTCAATTGAGTATGATAAGTGGTGCATGGCCAATTTTCATAATCCAAAAAAGCAGGGAGCTCATGTCAAATTTGGAATATCCAATTCACTTTTTTTCCCAGATGTAGGGTCTCCCTACAAATGCATATCCTATATATTAAAAAAAAGAATGTATTGAATATTTCAAATTTGAGGACATTGCTGGAAATTGGGATGTCCTCTTATAGTATTTCAAGTCCGTTTAAAATGAAATGGTGATTCAACATAGATTCTACATCTTGAAAACCAAGTCAATTTTGGAGCAGTTTTATGATAATGAAACCAACCAGCAAAAAACATTAACGCTGCAAAGACCAATGCACCAATTGGCAAATAAAATTGTAATTCACTAGTTATTCTAGATGCTCGCCAAATCTGAAAAAAAACCAGAGTCTATTTGTATTCCTCGGAAACCCCCGCCTACATTGCAATTTTCCTTCCTCTTTGAGATAGTGAACTAGTGACCTGCTTTTAAATGCTACATTCTCCTGTCACTTCTGGAATTGAACATGTCCCAGTGGAATGGAAGTTGCACATTGAAGAAGCTTCCGTCACAACTTATTTCAAAAGTGTGATCCCAGATGGGTGCATACACCCTGACCCCATCCAT